TCGTGGTCTTCGTGGAGTTTGCAACGCGTTTCTCTTTTTCCCTACCATCCTGTGGTGCTGGGTCTAGGCTTTGAATCCGCATCGCCGCGCTCCACCTCCTTTTTCCTCCCCTCCTCCTCCTCCCTTGCCTGCTTCTGCGCACCGCGCACACGTTGCGTGGCCCCACACGGAACTCCATCGAAGGTTTCAATGGCGCAGCCCGCATGCGTCCGCCCCGACCCAGTTCGGCACACCCCTTTGCACGCTAGGTGGCCGCATAGGGAGGCTCCCCACCGAAGGCCGTATGGGCAGGGTTCATGTGCGGCTCCGCGCCCACCGCATGTCCATGTCGGCACGCCCCTGACACGCTTCGTAATCCCAGAGGGAACTCGACCGAAGGCCCCAGTGGCAGGGTTCGCATGACGCTCCCCGCCCACCGCATGTCCATGTCGGCACATCCCTCACGTGCTTCGTTCTCCCATAGGGAGCTCCACCTGAGGCCCCAGTGGCAGGGCCAGCACGCGACTCCCCCCGCCATGTCGGCACACTCCTCACACGCTTCGTGGTCCCATAGTGAGGCGCACCGGAACCCCAAGCGGCAGGGTCCGTACGCGGCTCTCCGCTGATTTCGGCACACGATTCAAAAGTTTCGTGGCACCATGTGGCAAGGTCAGCATGCGGGCGTCGCACCGATTGCAACGCAACCATCGCGCGTTGTGTGGCACCACAGGTTGCTTCACCGAAGGCCTCAGCGGCAGGGTCCGCATGTGGACATCGCACCCATATCGCCACACTCCTCATGCGTTTCACTGATTTGATCTACGAGGCCTGATCTGAGGAACGGTCTGGCCAAACCTCGTTTTCTCTTAACAATCCAACTGTTTGGCCTCGCGCCGCGGACAACCCGCGCGCGTCGCTGGAATCCTCTCGGGGCGACCAGCGCGCGTCGCGGGCACTCCCCTGCGTTCTGCCTGCAGGTGCTGCCCAGCACCCGCGCGCTCTGCTTGGCGCCTCACCCCTTGTCAGCCGCCTGCTGCTTTTTGCTCCGCCCCGCGGACGACCCGCGCGCGTGGGCACTTAGCTTGCGCTCGTGCACAATGGGGCCGAACAGGAGGGTGACGTGGAGGAAGAGAGAAGAAAAAACACTGCAGCAGCAGAAGGGGATGACGGAGGGGCAGCAGCGGGAGGATGAGGAGGCGGAGGGGTCAAAGCAGGCAGAAAATGGCATGAGGGGCAGCGGCGAGTAAATCCCACCAGCCCGTTAGGAAGTGGGTGGTTCGAGGATTTCGTTCTTTCAACCCCTTGCTTCCCCACAAGGAAGACGTTTTATCTCTGCTCAGGAACTTACACACACGCACCCTCCCGTACTCGACCAACGGCCGACCCGAAACCAAGACGCCCCCCTCCCCACACCATTCCGCGGGTGCCGATACCATACATCATGATCATCACCCCGTCGCAATTTTGCATTAGTGTCGCCAGGCGCAGCGAGTGCGAGTGTGGTCCCAATGCCCGAATTGCATGGCAGACTCCCCCCGTGGGAAAACCGTACAACGCAGCTGCAGAACAACACGCGAGGAGGCACTGCTTCTGCGCCCGAGATACCACACACACACAAGCTGCCTGCCAAAACGGAGACCTGGAAAAACAGCGAACGAGTCAGACATCTCACGCCAGAGAGCTCTAGGGGAACGAAGAATGCCGTAAACATAACGTTTCGGAGGTCCGCGCGGATTTGTCGGATCGGCGCTGGACCCTCCTCCCTGGCGCGCGGCGCCGGAGGCGCCGCCAAGGGGAGGTCCAGCGCAGATCCGAGAACTCCGCGCGGACCTCCGAGCTTTTGCGTCTATCTCATCCTTCGTTCCCCTAAGCTCGCCTTCTTGCGTGCACCCGCCGTGCCCATGCGCGGCAGGGGCGCGGGGCCCCTGCCAAGGGGGGGCGCGAGGGCACTGCGCGGCCCCGCAGAGGGCGGCCTCGCCGCGGGCACGGCCGCGCCGCCGTGGCGCCGTGTCGCAGCGGGCCGACGTGCTCTGACGGGGCGCGGCTCGGCGGCTCTGCGAAGCCCTGCCGCAAGGGAACGGGCAATGGCACAAGCATGAAAACTCGGAGCTCTGCGCGGATAGTCTCGGCTCCGCGCTGGACCCCCCCCCTGGCGGCGCCTCCGGCGCCGCCCCTGGCGCACTCCGCGCGACAGGGGGCGGGGGGGTCCGGCGCCGATCCGAGGAGGAGGAGGAGGAGGCGGAGGAGGAGAAATCTGCGCGGACCTCCGAGTTTTTATGTTTGTGGCATGGTTCGTTCTCCTATGCCTTCAACTTCCCACCTGCCCTTGCGCGGGCCATCCCGCAGGGCCCGGGCCCTCCTGCGCCGTGGCCCCTCTCGCTACCTGCAGGACCAGTGCCAGCATGCAGGAGCAGATGAGCACCGCGTCCCCTCCGGGCGCGACGCTGAGCTTCCAGTTGTCGTGCTCGGGGACTCCTGTGCCCAGCTGGCGACCATCCATGGACGTGGCAATCATCATCTTGCTATTCGGTCTTCGGCCAAACTCTGCCTCGGAAAACCTGATGTCCATGATCGCCTCCCCGCGATATCGGACAGTGGCGTGGCCGAGCGAGTGGATCTCCATCACCCCATACTTCTGCTGATATCTGCAGAGGATGTCCATCGCGCCCTCCGCGGCGCCCTGCATCCGGACCGTGCAGAGGGGTTCCTCTTCGTTGACGCTCGACAAGGCGAGGCTCCTTGATTGGCCGAGTTTCAACCACTCCTACCATAGTTAGGACGGAGGAGAAGGAAGGATAGGGAGGTCCTCCTCCTCCTCATCCTCCTCCGCCTCCGCCTCCGCCGCCTCCTCCTCCTCCTCCTCCTCCTCCTCCTCCTCCTCCCTCTCCTACCTATGGTAGCGGTGGTGGAACAAAATCGGCCCATCACTCCTCACGTGGCCATCCCTCGCGTCGACGGCGGCTCGGAGGAGCGCCCTCCCGGTCGCCCCCTTGAGCTCCAGCACCCCGCCGGGGTTGGCCAGACTGCTCGTGGCGACTTGGAAGCGCGCGGTGGTGCTCGCCAGGATGAGCCTCGGGCATATGGGCGGGGGGCCCTCCTGCGTCGCCGGCGCAGCGGCTCCGCCGCCGCCGGGCGAGTTCTCGCTGCTGTCGGAGCTGTCGGGCGCCCCGGGCTTCTCCGGCGGCGCCCGCGGCGGCAGGCTGGAGGACGAGGTGGCGAGGTCCTCCGACTTGGCCTCGAAGAGCTGCCAGTGGCTGAGGCGCTGGTCCTGGGGAAGCGACACAAGTACCGATGCCGTAGCTCCCCGGACCTCTCCTGGGGTGCGTTCTGACATGAACTTCGAGGCGAATCTGGCGGTGGCGACGGGGGCCTCCCAGGAGGCCCAAGAAGGCGAAACCGGGGGAAGGGCAGTGGTGTCGGCACCTTTTCCTCCTCTCTGAAGTCCGTGCCCTGCTCAAAGTAGTACAGCGCGAGCATGCCAAGCAGCAGCACCGCCGCCGCGAACAGCACGGCGAGCCCTCCGGTGAACGACTCCGCGGCTGCACGCGCCGCTTCGCTCCCGAGCAGCGAGGCCGGTGGCTGCAGCCACGGGGTGCCACCAGCCGCCCGGCCCAGCGCTGCCGGCGACGGCTGGGTCAGCTGAAGGTTGGACTGCATCAGCTGAAGGTAGGGGAGCAGACACTCCGGCGCACCTGCCGAGCCCTCAGCAGGTGCGTGTGAGTGGCTACTCTTTTGTGGGGGAGGGCGGATCTCATGGATTTGTCCAAGAGCCAGCACGCACTCAGCAGGTGCGTCGGAGTGGCTATTTATTTTTTTTTTTTTTGGGGGGGGGGGGGGGGGGGCAGATCTCATTGATTTTCCCAGGAGCCAGCACTCAGCAGGTGGGACTGTGTTCATTGCGAGGGGGGGGAACAGACACTCAGTCGCATCTGCCGAGGGCTGGCTCCTGGAAAAGCAAATCAGATCTGCCTGCCCCCCCCAATGAACACAGTCCCACCGGCTGAGGGCTGGCGCCTGGAAAAATCAATCAGGTCTGCCCTCCCCCCCCCCAAGTAGCCACTCCGACGCACCTGCTGAGTGCTGGCTTCTGGAAAAATCAATGAGATCCGCCCTCCCCCCCCAAAAGAAGTAGCCACTCAGACGCACCTGCTGAGGGCTGGCCCCTGGAAAAACTAATGAGATCTGACTCTTCCCCGTCCAGATAAACACTCGCACCTGCTGCGAGCTGGTTCCTGAGAACATCCGCCGGCCCCTGCTTGTCGGGGGCGCAACAGCGTGTGAAATGCATGGCTGTCCCCTTCCGCTCTGCCCCTTCCCTGGGGTCGGAACTCCGATTGGAGGGGGGTGGGGGGTGGGCGGGGGGGACACGGGGGGGGGGGGTCGAGTTCCCAAACGCATCCCCAGCGACTGTGGAACCTCTCCAGAGCCCCAAGACGGCCCAAGAAGGCTCAAACAACGCGCTGAGACAGTCCACTTAAGCGTCGCAATGGCCCCAGGTAGCCCCACGACGGTCCCAGATTGCTTCGAGACGGCTCACGTGGCCCCCACGACAACCCAAAAGTGTTCCCAGAGAGCCGCCGAAAGAGCCCCAATAGGCAAACATCATCCCGCTCCCGTATGACAACGCGTATGTCTAGCATGCTCGCCTTTCTCGTCTGGACGGCGTCCAAGACTGCCCAAAGGGCCCCCAATATCGGCCCAAAACGGCACATGAGGCCCCCAGGAGGGCTCCAAGACGGCCCAAGAGGCCCTCAAGACGTCTCACGAGAGCTCCAAGAGGGCTTCTCGGAGGGCCCGAGAGGGGGAAGACGAGCTGACATCCCGCGCCCTCCCTCCCGCGATGGACCCGAGAGCCCCCCAGAGACCCCCGAGGCGCCCCCGAAAAGGGCCCCAAAGCATCTCAAAAGCCACAACAAAAGACCCCCTATACGCCCCTCACTTCGTGTTCCTGTTTCTCCTCCTCCTCCTCCTCCTCCCCCTCCTGTTCCTCCTGCTCCTCCTGCTCCTCCTCCTCCTCCTCCTCCTCCCTGGGGATCGGCGAAATGGCGCACGCATTTTGAATCGTCGAGATCTGACCACCCTCAAAACAAACACTCCGTCGCACCTGCCGGGGGCTGGCTCCTGGAAAAACCAATATCAAATCTGGTCACCACCTCCAGAATAGACGCTCCGTCGCACCTGCTGCGGGCTGTCTCCTAGAAGAACCAAGCAAATGTGACCCCCCCCCAGAGTAGACACGCAGTCGCACCCGCTGAGGGCTGGTTCTTGGAAACATCCATGAGATCTGACCCCCCCCCCAATATAGACACTCAACCCCACCTGCTGAGGGCTGGTTCCTGGCAAAACCACTGAGATATGACCCCTCCCCGCCCACATAAACACTCAGTCCCACCTGCTGAAGGTTGGCTCATGGAAGACACTGAGGTCTGCCCCCCCCCCCACCCACCCCCGAAATCGACACTCAGTCGCACCTACTGAAGGCTGGCTCCTGGCAAAATGAATAAGATCTGCGCCCCCCCCCAAAACCCAAAATAGACACTCCGTCGCACCTGCTGAGGGCTGGCTCCTGGAACATCGACTGACATCGAACCACCCCCCAGAAAAGATACTCCGTGTCGAACCTTTTCTGAGGGCTGGCTCCAAGACGAAATAATGCTATCTGCCCCCGCACACACATACACACACGCACGCACGCAAACACGCACGCACACGTACACACGCATGCGACCCCCCCCCCACAAACACACACACACACACTCACACACACACACACGCACACACAGACAAACACACATACACACATGCACGCGCACACACACACACATACACACACGCACACACGCGCACACGCACGCACACACACACACGCACACATTCACACACATTCACACCCACACACACACACACACGCATGCACGCACGCACGCACGCACGAACGCCCACGCACGCACGCACGCAGTCGCGCACGCAATAACGTACGCACACATACACACACACACGCACGCACGCACACACACGCACACACACGCTCACACACACGTACACATACACACACGCCCGCACGCACGCACGCATGCACGCAAGCGCACACACACTCACTCACACATTCACCCTTTTACACACACACACACACGCGCGCACAAACGAAGGTTCACACACACACACGCACACATATACGCACCCACAAGCGCGCACACACACACACACACGCGCACGCACGTACGCACACACGCGCACACACAAACACACACACACACACGTGCACACACGCACGCACGCACACACACATACACACACGCACACACGCACACACACACACACACACGCATACACACACGCACGCGGACACACACACACACACATACACACAACACACACAGCCACGCACTCACTCTCCCTCACACACACACGCTCACACGCACACACGTACATACGCCCGCATGCTCGCACGCCCGCACGCCCGCACGCCCGCACGCGCACGCGCACGCGCAGCCACACCCACACCAACACACACCAATACCCACACCAATACCCATATCCACACACCCCACACACACGGACATACCCTCACGCACACCCACACCCACACCCACACCAACACACACACACACACACCCACACCCACACACACACACACACGGACACGCACTGATACAGCTAATGACACACACACAAAGGCACAGGTACAGACGAAGACACAGGCACAGCCACACACAGGCATGGACACATGCACAGGCACAGACGCAGGCACAGGTACATGCACAGACACAAAGACACACAAGCACACAGACACACAGACACCCAGACACACAGCCGCGCAGACACACAGACACACACACACAGACAACACAGACACACAGACACACAGACACACAGACACAACGACGCACAGACACACAGACACACAGACACACAGACAGACAGGCGCACAGACACACGGGCACACACATACACACATACTTTGAATGGTAGCGACCTCGCGCGCGGCTCGCGGACGCGAGAGCTTCCTGCCGTTACCTTTATGCCTTTGGAGATGGATCTGGCGGACAGTTCGGAACGGATCCCAGAAGAAAGAGAGTTGGCATTGGAGTCGCCGTGGTGAAGATGGTGGGTGGGACCTGGGTCATGACAGCAAGCATCATGGCAGATCTACCTGGACACAATCAAACAGTACCTCGAGCGGGGCTTATAGCATTCGCGATCACGTTAGAGGAGACGGAGGGGGACATTCGGTCATCGGCCTCTACTCACTGCGTGGGCGAAAGGCAGAGCTGACAATCCAGGACGTGGAGGCAACGCAGATAGTTGGCCCAGAATCAAGAGAGCCCGCATGGAAAAGGCGCAAAGAGATGTCAAGATTGACAGGGCCCGTCGCACCAGGACGGCGACGAGGTAGAGCTCATCAACCCGATCTTCGCTATGGGCTACAGTTTCGTGGACACGCTGCCTACGGTGGCATCAGAAGCCTCCTGGGACATAATACTCAGAGCTTTACCCCGTACGGTCGAACGTGATTTTATTTGCGCTGATGTACGGCTACGGGCACGACAAGCGTTGGCAGACGCGGCGGAGGCTGACCCCTGGTGCGCAGAACTGGCCATTCACGCGCATGCCCAAGCCGTTGGCGAAAGATGCAGTTTACATCCAGAACACAAATCACGACATGGTCAAGCTCAACAACACATGCTGTTGTGCGGCCTGCATGCAGTACGTCACTACGGATATCCTCAACGAATTCAGCACCACCCTTTGTGAGGTCACGTCCGCAACTGTAAACGAAGTCATCGATGTCACGGTTCGCGATGCATGGGGAATGGTAAGATACATGAGACAGACAAAATTCAGGAGTGGAAGAAATATGTATTGTTCTTCAGTTCACGGTGCGCAGCTACTGGAACTACCATAGGCAAGGGATGCAGAGCACGATGTTCAAAGGAGATCACCATGAATGGCCAGGACGCGCTCAATCGCATTCATGCTGGGAAGTGTCCAAGCTGCAAGGGGCCACTCACAACTGTGTTCGACGTCGCCCGAGCTCGCGAGGTAGCCCAACTACACGACCAGGAGAAGCTGGCTCCACTTGTCCCTCAAGTTCTTCGGCCTGAATTGGCTGCGTCTACTGGACCACCGTCGCCTAAGACGAAAGTGGGAAGGAAACGAATCGCAGAAGACTTCGGTCGGGCATGCCAAAAGATAAAGCATAGTTAGGACATGTTCAAAAGTAGCCAAACATAGCAGGACAAGTCGTCTCCATACTATGTTTTACTATTCCTCCTGTAGGGGGACATGCCCGATTTAACAGAGGATCTGCTGGAGCGTGGCACAGACAGACAGCAACCAGAGCAACCAAGGAAGGCAGTGTGTATCCCAGGCGGCAAGTCCTGCACCCGAAGCTGGAGGCCGTGAAGACGGTGGTGCAACCGACGGCTTTGATGACGAGCTCGCTCGGCAGGGACGGGGATCAGTTCTTCGGCGGCGAGCGAGGGGGGGAAATGAAAAGGAGAAGGCCTTCTCAGAAGGCGGCGGGACTTCTCAGAACCCATCGCGCCTTCCGAGAGGCTTTTTCCTGTCTCAGGGGAAGGCTCAGAACACTTCTCAGAAGACTGGGGGGCTTCCGAGCCTTCTGAGAAGGCCCGCCCCTTCTCGCTTCCCCCCTCGCTCGCTGCCGAGCTCTTCTTCGAGGACGCTGGCGTTAGGACAGGCGCTAGAGCGCAGAGTCCTGGGGAGGGCCTCCCAGGTGCGGCGCCGCTGCCGGCCCCTGGCGTCAGAGATCGCAAACGCCTCGCGGCCCGCTTTCCAGGACTCGCACATCCCGGGGATGGCCTCCCAGGCTCCCCGCCGCCGTTCCGCGAGGACGCACCCGGATCCGAGGGCTGCTCCGGAGGGTCGGCCGCCTCTCGGCACAGGAGGGGCCCGAGCCGCAGAGCTCTCGGAGGCATGGCGCCGCCTCGCGCCCCGCCGTTCCTTGCCAGCGGCGAAAAAAATATGGGCTGCCAACACGGCGCCCGACAGGCGCCCCCTGAGATCCTGCAGCTCGGCGATCTAGTCCCTCCATGGCGACATGGGGAGGCGAGGACTACCGAGCTGCTGGATCTCGGCATGCCGGGACGTCGAGATCCATCAGCTCCGTAATCCTCGCCTCCCCAGTCGCCATGGAGAAGCTCAGGGGCCAGATCGCTGAGCTGAAGGATCTCAGGGGGCGTACACGTCGTTCACTTCTACCCGTGCTCATCGCCAACTGTGCTCGTCCCTGACTCCTCCTGGCCACCCCCCCGCGGCCAGGAAGAGGCCCAGGATAGAGCAATCAGACATGAGAGGATCTAGGCCCCCCCAGAAGTCAAGGAGCCTTCGAAGCATCAGACATGCACAGCGTGCACGACACCGCTGCCGCCGCGAGCCCCGGCGCCGCCCTTTTGTGGTCTGCGGGCGCGCGGCGGCGCGCCCCGCGCCCCGCGAAGCCCCCCCGCGAGGCCCGCGGCGAGAGGCACGGCGGCGGCGGCGACGAGGAGAGGGATGCCCGCTCCGAGGGGCCCGCCGCGCGAGGCCCGGGGCGCGCCCTGGCGCCATTGGCCGGGGGCGGCGGCCCCGGGAGCCGAGCCGCACCGAGGCTGGCCATCGCTCGGACGTCCATTCCCTGTGCTTTTTTCGGTTTCGTGCGTGGCTTCTTCGCCAAAAGATGCTCCTCGATGGTCCTCGCCGAAGGAAAAATGCACACGTCCGAGCGATGCCAAGGAGGCCGCGGGGCGACGTGTGGATGCACCGCCACCGCCCGCAGCAACGGTCGGAAGCCGGGCAGGGGCTGCGGAAGCCGTGGCCGCTATAAAGTCGACCTCGGGGATCAAGCCGTCTCCGTCCTGCCGGGGAGAGGCCCGTGGGCTGCTCCGCGCGCCGCGCCTCCATCACGGGAGGCTGCTGTTTCTCCTTCCGGGAGGGCCGCTTTAGCAGCCACGGTTTTGGCAGCCCTCGCGCCCAGCTTGCGAAACAAGGAGCGCAACAAACGGTTGTGCTTATGTTGTTCCCA